CCGAACCACTGTGAAGCTGCCCGCCGGCAAGAGCCGCCCCCGGGGTGGACTGGCCCGAGAGGGAGCCCGTTCCCCAACAGCCCGAGGAGGCCGCCTAGAGGGCGGACGGACCGACGCCGGGGAGGGCCAGCATGCTCCCACTGCTGCACCCCGCCCTGCTGCTGCTCCTGGGCGCCACGCTGACCTTCCGGGCGCTCCGGCGCGCGCTCTGTCGTCTGCCTCTGCCCGCGCACGTGCGCGCCGACCCCCTGCGCACCTGGCGCTGGCACAACCTGCTGGTCTCCTTCGCCCATTCCATTGTGTCAGGGATCTGGGCTCTGCTGTGGTGAGTGAAGGACCGGGAGGGGGGAGTGAAGGTGACTAGGGGACCCCGCGTTCCTCTCCCCATCATCACTCACAGGCGGGCTGAGGCCACGCAGTCTCACATGATTCCCTGTCTGGAAAGCTATCCAATCCGGAGCCGCAGCGGCCCCAGGGGAAGGGGGTGTCACCTGGGAAAGGGGAGACACCTGGGTTTCAGCCCAGCCCCTCCTTGCTCCCCAGCTAATAGCGCGAGCCCGGACTCCCCCGGGACTGTCAAAGGTCCTTGGGAATGGGGAGATGAGCGCCTGCCTTCTTCCCCCCCTCAGTGTATGGCAAACCCCCGAGATGCTGGTAGAGATTGAGACGGCTTGGTCGCTTTCTGGCTATCTGCTCGTCTGCTTCTCCGCAGGTAAGCCTTACCCAGTAAACGCAGAAGTAGGTGGGGGAACAGGGAGGAGCTTCGTATAATCCCCTTCATGACCTTTCCCCTCCTCCCTCTGCTAGGTTATTTCATCCACGACACGGTGGACATCGTGGTTAGTGGTCAGGCTCGAGCTTCTTGGGAATACCTGGTCCATCATGTCATGGTGAGAAACAAGGGGTGTGGTATAGCCCTGGCGCTAGCAACTCCATCCCCACCGTGTCCTGCACCTTCCCATGTTAGGGTGCTAATCTGTGCCCTTGGCTCACGATTTGAGGCCAGCAATCCATAACTTCATCTACACAGGGATCAAAATTTAATCATGTTGAATTCACTGTAAACTATGTCAGAAGAAAGCAAACGGGAAGACTTTCCAGTTCTCAATCTGATAGCTGACACTCCCATCAACTTCCAGTCAAGTTTTGGCATCTATTTCCTAACTTGTTCTCATCTTTGCCTTCTAGGCCATGGGTGCCTTCATATCTGGCATCTTTTGGAGCCGTTTTGTCGGCGGGGGTGTCCTGACACTGCTGGTAGAGGTCAGCAACATCTTCCTCACCATTCGCATGATGATGAAGATCAACAATGCCCAGGACCTCCTCCTCTACAAGATCAATAAGTATGTCAACTTGGTCATGTACTTCCTCTTCCGCCTGGCCCCTCAGGCCTACCTCACCTACTTCTTCATGCAGTATGTGGGTCAGAGGAGCCTGGGCTCCTTTCTGCTGGGTATCCTGCTCATGCTGGACATCATGATCCTCATCTACTTTTCCCGCCTCCTCCGCTCGGACTTCTGCCCTGAACGTGTGACCAGCCCACAGCACAAAGACAAGTTCTTGACAGAGTGAGAGTGAGGGGCAGAGCCTGGGACTTGAGGCAAGGACAGCAAAGAACCAAGGAGAACAGCCTCATGTATAAACTGATGAGCCCCACACCTGGGGCAGCCAGCCTCTCGACCTTTCAGGCTTGCACCCACGATTGAAAACACTAATGAAAGCACTCCTCTGAAGTCCTTGTCCTTTCTTGGGCAAGCGGTGAGGGAAGCAGACAGACCGGTCGGACACGGTAGATGGGTGTGGGGACAGTGCTACCCGAAAGCCAGCCAACCCATATTGCCCTGAAATGGATGCTGATGAAAACTCTGGGGACTGGTTTCATACAGACTTCTTCCCGGGATAAAGGAAGGGGTTCTTACAAAACGTCTTGCTTGTTTGCTTACTCCTGTGACAGAGGCAAGCTCGAGTTGTCCTAGGACAGCTAACCCTAGAGTCTGGGTCACAAATATCTGCTAGCTGAGCTCCCACCGCCAAGATTGCAACAAGTATGGGAAGTGCTAAGTGTCCCAACAGGGTAAATAGGCCAAGAGTCTTGCCCAAACTCTATTCAGTGTTCCCCCAGCCCAAACAGAAATCAACATAAAGAAACAATACAGTGTAAAATTTTTATATTTAGAATTAGGCAGCTGGACTCAGTTTAGATGATTCCAATCTGAAAAACAAAAGGGAATTTTGTTACTGGAAGTTGAAATGTGAAGATTAAGCTAGAATGTCATGATTAAAAAGCAAAGTGTGGGCACAGGGTAGGGCCTTTTAAGGAGAGAGGGGGTGCAGTCAGTCAGTTAAGACTAATCAGCAAAAGTCAGGCTTTGGTCGCTAATAAGACACATCATTTGCACCCAGGGGGTAGGGTGTTGAGGAGATTTGTGGCAAAGAAAGCTTACTTTGTTGGCAACATCCAAAGCATCATAGTCAGGAGCCAGTCGAACATATGCCTTCTTCTCGCCATCAGGCCTAGGGTGGAAAGGGCAGCCTCAGTCCCTGCTGTCCTCACTGGCCCCATACCCTCCACCCAGTCTTTGGGGCACCAGGAGTTCCTTTGTTCATGTCTTTCTTTTGCCAACAGTAGTTTGTCTGTCATCTGCACAGAGGAAGCGAGGGAAGCCACTAGGCTACAAACAAAGCCAATTCCCTTTTATGGGAAACACCACTGGACATTCAAATCCAGATAATCTGACATAAATTTTCTTAGGGCCTTTCTAGAGGCAGGAATCAAGAAAATGAGTGTCAACCCCATAAATCAAGTTCTAAAGCCAGGACAAGCTGTTGATTCCTCAAAAGTCCATACAAAGGACCATAATTACAGCAGGGGCTGCTCATTTCTGACCCAAAAGCAGCATCAAGGAACTTGATGCTGTTCAGATTTCCTTGGCTTCTGACCGAAGCCCCAGCCCATGGAGCCCCACTCACCTGATCAGGGTGTTGACCTTGGCCACATCAATGTCATAGAGCTTCTTCACAGCCTGTTTGATCTGGTGCTTGTTGGCCTTGACATCCACAATGAACACTAGTGTATTATTGTCTTCTATCTTCTTCATGGCTGACTCGGTAGTCAGGGGGAATTTGATGATGGCATAGTGGTCAAGCCTGGGGAAGGTAAAATGGGATCACCTAGCCTGAGCCCAGTTTAACAGAGAATGAGCCGTCTTTTGGAGCCCAGGTGCATCAGATGATGAGTAGCAATCATTTTTGTCAGACTTTGGTCGCTGAACAGTATCATCACCTGCACCCTGAAATCTAGACCTGGAGCCTCAGCCTGAGAGCAAAACCGTGAGCACTTCCTTTCACTTGAAGGGCTTCCATCCTTTAAGTGATTAAATCATCTTGAGTTCCAAATCATCTTTATTTGAGCTTCATTCTTTATTTGACCTCAACATTTCTGAAGGGCATATTTCTGAATAAAATTTAAGACCTGAGACATTAAAACCAAAAAGCACACAGCTAGAATACAGGGTTAGAATTCCAAAGAATATTGGTGCTTCACTATGAGGCTGGGAGGCCAGGCCATTTCTACCCATTTTGGTTGCTGAAAACTGGCTTGAGGGCCATCCATTCTTGAGAGCAACTTTAAAAATAAAATTTACAGCTCAAGTTAAACTTAGTGGCTTAAACACCCCTACAGCACAGTTCCCCCACCCCCTGAAATTCAGAGAAGCAAGGCTCTGTTCACATGGACACTACCATCCCATTTTGAAGCTAGAAGTCAGGTCTCAGCCTTTCATTACCCTAAATTCTAGGTCCAAATGGGGGTAAAAAGCCTGTCAAGTGTTTTCCTCCACAGCTGGACACAAACCACTCCCCTGCCTTTTTCTTAGGAAGCAGTGGGAGGAGCAGAAACCCATCAGCTTCTACCACCTTGGTTCTACTCTAATCATGGTTCCTGAGGTCAGTTATTAACAGCAGCACTACTCAACCATTATCTGAGTGTAAACATTTGAGAGTGAATGAAAAGATGTTTCCATACACTGCTGCAGGCCCTCACCCTCCAATACAGATGAATGAAATTTTGTTATCAACCTAGAATCATCACACCTCCTCACCCTCAAGGACTATTCCCTATATAGCAATAGGTGCTATGAGGGATGAACTAAATCTGGAGCTCCAAAACAAGAACCAAGTCCTATTTTATACTTCCAAGAAAGTGGACTTTAAAACCCTAACATATAAAGTGATAATGAACCTAACAACGAATTCCTGCCAACAGTGTAAAAAATGTCTCTTCTTGTTCTTTAAGGCATTAATCTCCCCACACCCCCATCAAGAAGGACCTCAACATGTTTTTAAGAAGCCAGGTTCTAAGTTTGGTAAATTTCATATTTACCAATGGAGGATATCCAAACATCTTTTCAAGAGGATGGTCGGTGCTCTCCTGGGGAGCACGCCGGTGCCCTTCCCTTCCCCCCTCCCCCAGGTGCACCTTTGCCTTTCTCTCCCCTAAGCTCCAAAGGCCCTTCTGTCTCTGCCTCTAAGTTGTTTCCTGAGCCTACACAGCCCAGCTAGTTCACTTCTACTACCTATGCAACTTCCTAAATAAACTTCCTCTTACACGGGGGGTTGGCGGGAAGGAGGGGCAATACTGACTTGTTTCTCCTGGGTGCGCTCTTCCGAGGGTATTTAGGCTGCCTCCGGAGCCTTAGTGTCTTTGGCCGTCGGAAAGTGGGTGACGTGCGGATCTTCTTTTTTTTGTGGCTGTGGACGCCTTTCAACACTGCTTTCTTTGCCTTCAAAGCCTTTGCTTTGGCTTCGGCTTTGGGAGGGGCAGGGGCTGAGAAAAGGAAAGAGAATGAGGGATTCAGAAATCATCACTTCCGGCCTAACGAACAGTAGTGGGCGCACCAGGCTACATGTGCATCAGTGGTTCCTTTGGAGACATCACAAGTCTCAGCTTAAAAGTTTTTCCATCATATGCACAGTTATTGGGGCAAACTTGGAGCAACTCCAGGGATACCACACAGTAAAAAAAAAACTAGCAATAATCGAACGCCTGACACTTGCCAGAACGTTGTGCTAGTAGTTTTATAACATCTCACAGCCACCCCGGGCGGGTATATAGCCGAATATAATGGAATTAAAAAAACTAAAGTAAGTTGAGGGCACGGATTCCTTACAGGTATGGAGACACGGAGCGGCGGCCTGTGGATGCGTGTAGCTCCCCGCAGTCGACTATGTGGCTGCGGGCTCCCTCCCCAACCCCCTTCAACCGGAGCCCAAGCCCATGTGGCTGGGCCCACGCGCGCCGTAGCGTGGCCGAAACGAAACGGGAAGAGCAGCTCCGGAGCTGACACCCCAAATCTTAGCCCAGCCACCGTCCTTTCACTTTGTTTACTCTGCGGGGATCCCACACCGGCCAACCAGCAGTGTTCCTCCCAAACCCCACCACACACCTTCCTTCTTAGCTTTCGGCGCCATCTTCGTAAAAAGGGTTTCCGAGACCCGTTCTCCTGGGCTTATAGAGCCAAGTCTCACCGAAACCTCGCGATGTTTCCTACTTAAAGCTGATTGGGTGATCTGTAGCGCGGCGCCCGCTGGGAATAGTAGTTAGGCTTCATTTCCTTAAGAGCGACTAAGCATGCGCCACCCCGCCCATCGTAAGAACTAAGCTTCTTGGGGGTTGTAGTTTATTTGTCCGCTGTAGCGGTTGGATGGTAAGCGAACAGCCACTCGGGTCTGGTCCTGAGCGCTTCCCATCTTCAGCAACTTCAGAGAAAAGCATTGCAAGTTCCAGGAGACAGCAGCACTGCAAACTGTAACGAATATAATTCGATTAGCTCAGGGAGAGTGAAGCAAAGTTCTAGAACGTTAGAGCAGAATTTGTCAGGCCCAACTCTCTCAAACATTTGTGTAAATTGAGGTCTCGAGAGGATACGTGGCGGATCAATAATGGTGATTTGGGGGGGGAAAATAAAAATAAAAATCGAGTCACGCAGAGGGGAGGAAAAAAAGTACCAGACGAGGTAGAAGGTGGCAACATCTCCCCTCTTTACCCATGGCAGTCTGATTTCATGTGTTTCCCTGACAAGACTCTGGAGGAAATTCTAGCAATATTCCAAACACCCAGCGCGCAGACTTCAGCATTCGCTAACTCTCCTTGTGAATAACTCCGTTCACAATTCCTCCCTTTAAGTAGTCTTCCCTTTCGTGCCCCAGCCGTCCATCGTTGCCTCCTCAAATTCAGTTCCGGACACAGAGCAAAGTTGAGCAGAGCTCCAGTTTGCTTCCCGGGGGGTCGGCGTCCTCCTGCCTTCACCCCTCCCTTTCTGTCGTCTCTCTGGCCTCTGGGAACCTGCTTTCCCCAGTGACGGTGAGATTTGGGGTGCGGTACCCGATTCTGTCTCCCACGACTGCAAAATGCGAAAGTTGTTCTTGGGACGATTCCAAAGGGGCCAGTTTGAAGAACGCCCCTACCCGAGGGGCGTCCTCATGCTCCGGAGCAGTGACCTCCCCAAAGGGCGGAGTTCCCGGCCCGTCGAGCCCCCCTTTATCCTCCATCGAGGGGGGCGGCTTGGTCTTCGGCCTCCCCACCCCTCAATCTACCCCAGAGCCTTCGAGGAGACGACGCCACACCTCGGACGTCTCTCTCCGAGGGGGGCACCCAGCTCCGCCTCTGCACCCCTGTCGCTCCCCCTCCCACCTCCCACCTCCCAGGGCTGAGGGCGAGCGGGGGCAGACGCTGTGAGTCACGTCCCGGGCCTGCAGTTGGGAGGGAAGCGCCGCCTCTCCTTGGGCCCCTTCGCTCCCCCTGGCCCGCCCCGCCGGTCCTGGCGCAGCAGATGCTGCGCAGCCATCGCCGCTTCCCCATCGCCCGCTCGGCTGGGTAAGGGTCCCGGGAGGCGCAGCCCCGCACACGGGTGCAGGGCCGAGCACCTGGGGGTCCCTCTCTGGGCGGGTTCCAGCACGTGGGGGCGGGGGGCGGCCTGGGTCCCAGATGAGGCGTCTGGCGGGGGAGCCGAGGCTGGGGCGGTGCAGGGAGGAGGAGAGGATGGGGATCCCGGGCGGGGTGCGAGGCCGGGAGCCGCCGGGAGAGGGGCCGGGGGCGGCCCTTCTGCATGAATTTCCGGGGGATCAAGTTACCGCGCTGGAGGAGGGGGAGTGGCGTGCGAGGCGGGGCCCTGCGGCCCC